CCGGAAGGACCTCTGAGCTTCGTTCTCGTCCCTGCAGTACGGAGTGGACGTGAAAAGCCGAGATGCCCGGGGCCTGACTCCACTGGGCTATGCGCGCCGTGCCGGCAGCCAGGAATGTGTGGACATCCTGCTCCAACATGGCTGCCCCGGGGAAGCCGCTGCGGGCAGCCTCACCCCAAGCTTGCCTCGCCGAAATGTCAACAACAACGCGTCTGGCACTCTGCTCTCTGAGCCAGCCTGCCCCGTTGGGGCCCCGGGAGCGCTCGGCCCAAGCCTCTAAGAAGCAGGCAGGCAGCAGCACGGTCTCACTGGGTGGCCTCCCGCGTGTCCCTCACCACCCTTTTGGGGCCCAAAGAGACTAGAGCTCCTTGGAGGGGCTGGGGGTATCCTTCTGCACTCTCCACCCCCCCCAAGACCGAGGGCACATGGACTCCACTTGGGGTGCCTGGGGACCCCCCATCTATCAGCTTCCCCCTCGCCCACTTTTCTGCTTCTCCCAGGGCCTGCTGCAGTTCCTCGGCCTGGCGTAAGGACTCGTGGGGGAATGGGTGGGGAGCAGCTTCGATGCTGGTTGACGTTTCCCAGCACCACTTGTCTCAAGTCACTTGTGTATAAAATGTACATTGGAAATATTTATATGACAGTCTGTAAATAAGGTTTTCTGCCCTGTTTGTGTGTCTGTGTGTGCAAGTGTGAGAGAATGTCCCCACAGCAGAGAAGCTGCGCAATAAAGGAACTGCTCCACTTCCCCTAAAACCTCTGCCTTTGGTTTTGTGATCCTGGTGGGAGGCGAGGGGGCCAGAGAGGACAGCTTTCCCCCAGAGTTGGCCTGTGGAAGATGTGCCAATGGAGTGTGCAAACCCCAGCATGCTCCTGGCAAGGGATGGGGAAAAGAGGGCCCTTCCCAACTCTGCCCTTGAAATCTGAAACCCTTGCAGGGCGGCAGCCACCCTTACCCCCCCCCACCGCACCCCACCTTGCGTTGTGGCTCCTGAAGCAGGAAGGAGCCCGCCGCACTTCAAACTGGAGCTTAGTCCCTACTGTTCCCCAGAGCAGCTGAGAAAATCTCTGCCCTGCAGAAGGTGAGGGGGCTCCAGGGTCTCGCTTGTGCCTACGAGGGGGGGGGGGGCGCACAAGGCCAGTAGTTACTGCAGCCGGCAAGAGGCTGTTGCTTGGGGACCACAGCTTCTTGCAGCTTGAACAGAGATCCAGGCCTAACCGCGAAGGAGCAGCGCAGTTCTTCAGGGGAGGCTGGAGGGACTCCAGGCTGCCTGGCCCGCTTCCCGGCTGGCCCCTTGAAAGATCAGCCAGCAGCGGGGGCACCCTCTTATCCCCTCCCATGTTTTATTTGCCAAATGCTCCCTACTGGAATAAGTCTTTCAGAAAATAGACAGGACATAAAGCGTCCCTGTAAGAGCTAAGGGGCAGGGGCAGAAATGTCCGCTTCCCAAACCATTCCTCGGTGGGTGGGATAGTCCCTCTCCTCACGGCCACGGAGGGAGGTGGACATCCGCCGCTGTCGGCCCACATGGTGAGGATCCTGCCGCCGCGGGAGGCGACTACGCAGGGAACCAGGTCCATAGAAAATAGATTTATTGATCAATACACGACTCTGCACGGAACAGATACGGGGCGGGGCGCGGGGCGCGGGGCTTATGT